TTTTCAAAGTATTTTTCATAGTTTCATAGCAGTTTGAACTTGTTACAGGAGGCTTTTCAATGAAAACGGCCATTTTTCGCAATATATTAATTAATGCTCATTGGGTAAAAGGTTAACCTTATATTGCTGTGGAGAAGATCCTCTTAACCATCACATATTACTTGAACATTCCACATTTTTTAAGTACGTAGCGTTCATTTTACAATGGTTCATTGTGCATGGCATCAATTTCTGTAAGAAGGTGCTCAAAAGCGCGTTGTTGTCTAACACAACCTAATAACATTCCTATAAAGTTCTGGTCTATCAAAATAATGGAAAACTCAATTTCAGGAGGTTTTTGTCTCTTTTTTTGTGACTTTGCAAATTTTCATTTGATCTACGGTTATATCGAAAACAGCTAATCGCCGTTCAAAAAAAAAAACGACAAAGCCATACGGATATCTCCCGGACATATTGTTTGGGTTGGGGCTTTAGTCCTCATATTGTAAAGAAGACCCTACAAAGTTTACAAAAACGAATCTGCAACGGAATCAGAGATATGGTGTTTTAAAGGTTGGGTCTAGAATATGGTGTGTTTTTTCAGCGAAATATTAAACACTTTGTACAGAGGAATATCGAATTGGCGGACCAAAAAATGGTCATGCCACGCTGAAATCTCCCGGACATTTAATTTGGGGTAGGGCTTTGGTCTTCATTTTGTGCAAAGAACATCCTCTAAAGTTGTACAAAAACGAATCTGCAACGGAATCAGACAAATGGTGTTTAAACGGTTGGTTCTAGAATATGGTGTTTTTGACGATTTGTGTAGATTTGCCCACTTTTGAACTGTTGTCTGTGACTCTGCACTCGTCATTCTTCTATCATATTAGAGTCTAATGACTTTTATGGTGCATCAACTACGTAGATGTTGTTTACATGCAGAAAAAGTGCTGTCGGTTTTGCTATGCGTGCTGCTGCGCCTTCCTGCAACATCTGCCTTGTTATTCTTAGCATATGTCAGTGAAAATATCTCATTCTAACCTACCTGGTATAAAGTAGAGGTCGGATTATCTAGATTACCGTTTATGAACACGATTTTACCCTCACAAGTTTATCTAAATTGTCTGGTTCAGTACCAAAACCTGCGGACGATTGTTTAAGAGTGACCAATCTACCTGTCACATCTGTGCAAGAACGCTACCAGTCTGTGATGGACATACACGGTGTTTGATAAACTATACCATTCATCGTCACATTATGTTTTCACGCACTTTCGCATTTATTGCGCATGTGCCTTGATTTTTTTATTGTGAAATCATCACTATTCCTCTCTATCTTTTGAATTTTGATTGGCCAAATACTGAGCCACATATAACAAATTTTATGCATGCACGTTTATTTGATTTGTTAAGTGTAGATCTAATTTATTATAAAAAAAATCTACATAGATTTGCCTCCTTTTTCATGCAATAAGATGACACGCATGTACCGGTCGGCGTATATCTGTATCTCAGCCTTGTTTTGTACATGTAAAGGCTATGAAATAGTTGTAATTATGAAACAAAGTGAGGTCAGTTTCCTCTGAAATTTATATTGACAGAATAACTTTCACTCACTTTATTTAACAGGTTGTTTTCAATTTTGAAAATCCTTGGTAAAGCAGGCTATTGACGGACGGTGTCCAACGAGATAATTTCCTCTAAATAACTAGTACAGATTAACTAATCTTAATCAAACTGGTTTATAGCTAGCTTATTTAAAGACCTTGCTTGGCATTGGTTATGGCGGGGTCTAGGTCAAGGTCAAGGCCACTGTTACTCAAAATAGAAAAATCGGTTTCCTGTCAATAACTAGTCTAAGGGTTTGGAATGAGATATTTCAATGAAATTTAGTGTATAACAAGCTTATGTGAAGGTTCCACTTCCAATGGATCGCGTTTGGGCCAAACTCACTGTAAGAAGAATAGAAAATCGGTTTCGGGTCAATTACTAGACTTTGTAATGAGATACTAGTATTATAACAAGCTTATTTGAAGACTTCACTTGGGATTACTTTTTGTCCCTGTAGGGTCAATGTCACTGAAATTGTATCAGGTTGATAAGTAGAGTCAGGAGTGAGATATTAAAAAGAAACAACCTTTGGCGTATAGCAAACTTATGTGAAGACCTCGCCTGATCTTTATCCGGCCCCCAGCTTTCAGGATATCATATTAATTTTCCCATCTCCTGTAATTACAAACACAATGCTTGCTTATTTCTTTTGTTTCTTTATTATTTATCATTTACATTGAACATAGTTAAATTGTACTTTCCGTGTACATATTGTATTTGCATTCCGACCGGAACAAACGTTCTACAATATACGGGGGAGGAAGTGTTACACGAAGGATGGAGTTCTTATGATAACTTGTTCAGGAGTTCTTGTGATAACTGTCACGGAGTTCGTCGGGAAACATTTGTATATTCTACAAAAACACTCGTTAAAATGGTTATTTTCATCTTTCAAAAATGAGTTTTAGGTGCTTAATTAACCATTAAACTTTAATTATTAAGCTTGTCTTACATCTTGTATTATGTGTCAGAAACTAATTTACAGGCCAGTTTTAATCCTCTTGCTTCAAATCTGGTAGTTTTTAGTAAAATTTCCAAATTATTAGCCAGTATTGACCTGTTTATTTCTGATCTTCATCCTTGCCATACATAATTACCTAATAATAATGGCAAACATAAAGCACCGGCTAACAGATTTATACCCGATCTTTCAAATGTCCCGGAGTTCTTGTGATAACTCTGAAGATGTCACAGAGTTATTATGTATAACCTTTTGTTATTGCCAGGTTTTTCTTGAGCTAAATCACGACATGTTTAAGCGTTTTTATTATTCAATGAAGATTGGTTCATCATTATGAAATGTAGTAAGCTCAATCCTTTGCGCAAAAAAAAAGGATATTTTATGTAACGTTTGGTTTTGAGTGAAATTTTAGTTTAGAGATATATATTCTTACACCCCGTTTTCTTTTCATTAGTATTTTTTTGTTGACGCAAGATATCTAGACTCCATGGAAAAAAGATTTTTACTGGGTTCCCTAGCAGGTTTCCGGCTCCTAGCAGTAATCTGCCCCTTTATCATTTTCATTCAGTCATACAGTCTATTTTTTCTCAGTTAAGCATCTATGTTACTGCATCAGTCAGAGAAACAACTGTTTTCTATGTAAAAAAAAACAGTTTTCATAGTACAGCGATTAATATGTTTGTTGTTTTAAGTTACATTAGAGAACTTGCGACACTTACAAGCAACACCTTGGGAATTCTAGTTTGAATGCCCATGCACAATAACTGAAATCCCATTCTAGGTAAATCACCACTTTTAAACAATAAAAAAATTGGGAAGTTATATCTATTTGAAAAACCCAGCTTAACATTGCATATCGGTACTAAATTATATTCAAAATAAAAAAGGTCTGAAAAACTGCTATGAAATTATGAATAAATGTGAGCAAAGGTGTTACATCTCAGACCTTTATTCCATTAGAGAGCAACATTAAAACAGGAACCTAACTTTGTTCTGTCAAAGCTTGCACACTTCGGTAGACAGAATTTTATTTTATTTGTTAAAAAGTGCTATTTGTACCGGAAAACTGCTATGAAACAAGTAGGGCATTTATGTACGGATAAAATGCGTTTTTGAAATACTCAAATATGGTATTTTCATGTATATTTTCTGTCGATGTTTGATGAGTATTTTACCTTTGTAAATCTTAGTGGAGGAAACTCTGATACTTATGTTGTAATTGATAAAATGTATAATCAAACTTAGTTCGCTCGAACCTGGAGGGACAGTTCAAAATTTTTCGAGAGATCGGTAGTTTAGAGCCAACCGCAGTGAGTTTTTATCATATATCGTACTTTTTTAAGACATAGGTGTGGAAATTATCCTGGTTATATACTTATTTATTATGTTATAAAAATGATACAAATTACTTAGCCCTTAGGTAAGGGAAGCATGCCTATTTATTGTCTGCTTAAAAAGGTGGTTGCTAAAAACATGTGAAACTGAGAACAACGTGTACGTTTTGAGACATTTTTGTTTTGTGGTTTAAGCCATTATATACTGCCGAATATCAGTGGCCGCTCGATCAATTTTACTGTAGATGATAGCCTATCACCTATTTATCCTTTGCAGACACTTAAGACCACCTATTATCCACATTTTTGTGTAAAGGATGATTGTACTACAATCTCATTGCAATAGTGATAATTGAAAATCTGTTTTTCTGATTACGAGATTTTAATAGATGTGATAGAAATGAAAAGCTGAATCATGTCTGAAAATATAAACGTTTAATTTCCTAATTTAAGACAAATATTTACATATAATGCATGCATCTGGTTTAAATTTATCTAAAGCAGCCGAGGAAAAAAGTGATACATTCAACCCCGATATCCCCAGTTGATACAGAATACAGGATGGACTCAATCAACAAAACTTGAGACACGTATATACAATACTTTGTAAATACATTGTGCAAAGTTTCAAACCATTTATACTTATGTGTATGAATATCGGCGTAACCCAAACGTACTCTCACAATCTGATGTGACAATAGAGGTCATTATGATAACTTCTAAGGCAACAAAGATATACATGTACATGTAAAACTAGGTGCAAATTTCTCTACAGTGACGTTTCCACAGATAAAATCCCCCAAAATAATTTCAGAGATCATTTACGAAATTGATTTGCCTCAGGAAAAATGTTTGCCAAGTTATTCCAGATTTTAGCTTTTATATTTCTAGAAAGTTTGATTCTTTTTGAGGGCGTTAACATCGTTGATGAAGAACATATCACGGAGCTTATAGAGAAAATAGTTGCTGATAAAACATTGGAATTGAAAATTCAAGTTCAAAAGCTAGAAAACGTCGTTGAAAACCAACAGTCGCGAATTCACAATCTAGAAAAGGAGGGAAGACGTAAAGAAAGAGTTATAACTTATAAGCCATGTAAAGAAATTGTGGGCTGACATGTATCACGAGCTGAAATCAAATAGCTTGACAACTCCTGATGAAGATTTACCGGATACTGTTAAAGATAACATTGATGTATCTGCTACCAATACTGAGGACAGTTTAATTGGCAAAGACAGAAACGCTTCAATGGAATTAGAACAAAAGCTTGCTACAAATAGACCTAATTCTAATCGGAGAGACAAAATATTCATGAAATACAGACAGAGGCGTGAACCGGAAGTTGTCGCATTCACAGCGTATCTAAGTCATAAAATTGATCATATGGGAGTTGGCCACCATATCGTATACGACCAAGTCATTACAAATGAAGGGGCAGGATACAATGTTCACACAGGCATATTTACTGCACCTTTGACCGGACTTTACTTATTTACGTACTCAGCGAATTCCCATTATGTACGAAGCATGTTGGAGCTAGTGGTTGACGGCAATAACATCGTTGATATCATTATTGACCCAGTCTCTAATACAGAGGTATGTTTCACGAAATAAAAAAAAGCTCAAAGGCGAATTAAGATATAAAGTAATTTCATTTGCCCTAATTTCCCCAAGATATAGCTAGAACTTGTGCGACTCCATGCTGGTAATAAATGAATTAATCTAAAACATGAAAACATATTTATGACTGAATAAAGTCTGTGTGAGTTAATGTTATATGCCGATAGTCATATAAATAAGCTTATTATAAAAAAGAATATACTTATTTCTTTTAGCTAAAATGGTATGTGAGTATTAAAGACCGCTTGTTTGAAGACAGACCGCCTGTTATAACCACACAGGCACTTGATTTCGTGCGGTGTTCGTACCTTTACCAGCGACGATTTGTCAAGCTATTTTTCTGTTCTATTTTTGTCGTTCTTTGGTGGTTGTAGGAGACAACCACAACTGCGACCAGAGCACTTCATTCTAACAAAACGACACTCTGTGTGGCCACACCCTGCCGTGATAGTCACGACTGGTCAACAAATCATCTCTGGCACTTTGAATGATATGATCTAACGTGCGCTTTCACCGCGAGCTGAACATGCCCGGAAGAATTCTATTACGTTTGGTTGTATTATGTGGTCACGGGTGCACAAAATATCGTGCCTAATGACAATTGAACATCTGGACCTAAAATGGTTGAAATATAGATTTGTCCGCATTTTTAGGGTATATATGCATTATCTTTTAGAAATCGAGACATTACTGCAGTATATAGTTTGTGTGTGCGTGTGTGTGTACGTGTGCGTGTGTGTGCGTGTTTTTTATACGCGAAAAATATTGTTGTTATTTTGTATTTGTAGACGATGAGCACTAATACAGCGATAATTCGCGTTACAAAAGGACTGTCTGTATGGGTTCAAGAATACTACATACATGAGGTTTCCATGTTTTCAACTAATATCGGGAGATATTGCACCTTTTCTGGAGTGTTTTTATACTGATTTTAGAAGAATTTAAAATATCCATACAACAATATATAAGCTTGTACTTCAATTAGTTTGTCCCTTTGTAAGTTTCTTTGCGACGAATCATTAAAATATACATGGAGCTTAGTTCTTACAGAATTCGCAATTTTTTTTTATCTAACATTGAATTATCTCTGTTTAAGATTTATACGAAATTACGCAACACAAAAGTAATACAAAAATTCATACAAGTAACAGTTATAGTAAACGAGTTAGTTACGAGGATATAACTGGGGCGATATCGAGGGATGTTTCTGCAAAACAAATGTCGAGGCCGTTAGGCCTAAACCTCCTGGGATGTCGACTTAGCCAGATATACCCACGTATCTAAAGAGATTCATATATTATAACTGTTCAATCGCAATTGCATATTTTATGCCCCCGAAGGGTGGCACGATCCTTCCGTCTGTCTGTCCGTCTGTCTGTATGTACGTCCCCACTTGATTTGTGTGTGGACTGTTACTTTGTTAGCTTTGTACAAATGTTTACCACATCAAGACGATATGTCGCGTCCAAGAACCACCTCCCTACCTCAAAGGTGTAGGTCACACAAACATTTTGAAGAAACACAATTAGAGTTAATAGGTACACGCATTCGTGTCCGGACTGTAACTTGTCTACATGAAATGCAATTTTGTCATGCACTGAGGGGTTTTGAAATAACTTGGCACAAATATCTACCACATCACTACGTTGTGTTTCATTCAAAAACCACTTACCTTCTTAAATGTCAAGGTCACATTGACATTTTGAAGGTTCACAGTATCACAATTAGAGTCTGTAGAAACACACATTTGTGTCCGGAAGGTAACTTCAAAGGATTTTAAAATAACTTGGCATGAATGTCTACTACATCAAGACGACGTGTCGGGTCAAAGGATTTTTAAATCATTTGGCACAAGTGTCTACCACACCCGGACAATATGTCGCGGTCCATTCACAACCAAAAAGGTCAACGACACACTTAGAGGTAAACATTTGTGTCCAAACTATAGCTTTGTCATGCATGGAAGTATTGTAAAATTACTTGGCAAAAGTCAAACATGTCATGGTGATTTTTTTTCTTTCAGACCAATGTCCGTTAGTCAAAGGTCAAGGTCACACAGTTTGAAGATATCACATTCTTACAAGTAGAGTTTAAAGGTACACACATTTGTAATTGGACTGTAACTTTTTATGGACTGGAGGATTTTGATACCTTAGCATATGTGTCTACCATATGAAGACGACATGTCATGTTCAAGAGCCATGTCCTTACCTCTATGGTCACCCTTACAGTTAGAAGGTACTCATATTCTCAAGAAAAGTTTGAAGAACACATTCGTGTCCTGACTGTAATTTTGTTATGCATTGGAGAGCTTTTAAATGTCTACCACATCAAGCTAACTGTGTAAGATCCATGATCCTACCTCTAAGGTCAGGGTCACTTTAATTGTTTGAAGGTTCCTTTGCTCATTAGAAGATTTTTAAGGTAAATATTAGTTTTCAAACTGTAACATTGTCATGCATTGGAGGATTTTAAAATACTTTGGCATAAATGTCTACCACATCAAGATGATTTGTTGCATCCAATATCCGTGTCCTAAGGTGGTAAATTTGCTATTAGTAACACTCCATTTCACAAGAACAATATTAAGCAATGAGTTATTTTCATTCTCTTTTCTTTTCATTTCATTTTGAATATGAGAACCAAGATATTACCGAATGGCTCTGATTATAGCCAGACTGGTTCTCATCTTCTAGGCCAGGGAGCCAATATTGAATTTGAATTGGAGTAAAACGGCGATTATTTTGATATCTATTTCGCCTGTTGCGTTGTTTATATTGATGTTATAGTTTAAAATTTACCATCATCGTAAAGAACTTTATCTTTTGTGTAGATGGACGAAAGGATTATTGAAAATATTTAAAATGAAATAAAATGCATGTTGATCTGGCGGTAGGTGTGCGGATTTTTTTACGGCGAACATTTTTATCTTGTGTATTATTATAGACTTTGAAATATGATTTTTTTAAAAACGGCTTATATTCATTTATTTTATATATACATGTATATGATCGGTATATGTGCTGGGATTGACAAATATACATTTTATTTGGACTTTAAAAGCGTTTTAGGCTCCACACTCCAAGTGACTGTGGTTCGTTTAAAAACACATTCATCTTAAAGTGTTCCATTTTTTTTTCAAGATTAATAATCCTACAAAAATTATTTCTTGCTTTAAAGACACTTCTTGTTCTTAAGTATTGTACTGTCATCACAACTCTCCACAGTGTTGAGGATGATTTATGTTTGCGTATCAAACTGAAGTTAATGAATCTCCTTTACAGTCTAAAATCATTAGAACCAGTCTACAAACATTGTTATGCGCATGATCCGCTTCAAAATACATGTATGACTTTTCTTAAACGAAAAATTAACATCGAGGTGGACAAATCGTAAAAGTAAAAATCAGGAAATATCATTTGCATGTCTATTACATTACTGCGAACAGGTATATAATCCTTTAAAGATCCTGTAACATATTTTTTTCATGGATTTATTTCATAAATATGATGCTCAAAGTAAGATTTGCCAATATTATAAGTTCCAATAAGCATTATTTATAAAGATATTACCCAATTTAACATTTCATGTAAATAAAGGGAGGTAATTATAAATTTATTTTCCATCAATTCTATGTCAAATTTTCCAAAAAGAAATGAATGCTTGTAATTTATTGATTAAATATTTGCAGTACACATTTTACATATTCTTCGATGTTTGAAAATTGTTTTATTTGCATAAATATATATACATATATATAATTTTTTGCAAGTGTTGTATACACACAGTAACAATATCAGTCAAAAAACATACAGGATCTTTAAACTGTATAAATTGTTTGGTTTTTTACTAGCGTTTTCGAAAAATAGTAACGGAAAACATTTTAAATAAATACAATATTGCAAAATATTGCGAAATTTGAAACTAGTCCCCTACAAAGAGTATTGTTTTAGGGTGGTATATCTGGCTGGTTACGTACCCGATATAGACACATTTAAGTCGTCTTATATTGAGCAAAAAAGTTGAGCAAAGACTTAAGGGATTTTAAATCAAAATTTAGTTTTAAGCAAGTTTTGTTTTCTTTCGTTCAGTTCTCAAAAAAAATGTTTTGTTTTGAATTTGTTGACAATTAGCTCCACTGCAACAATGTTTCATGTGACAAAGGAGGTATAAAGGAATATATTTATAGTTACTAGTATGTCATTCATGATGAGGGTTCAATATTTTAAAATATATCGGAAAATATTGTGCATTTTTCGAGAATGAGTATTATTATTTGTATTATTATCCTTATTCTTCTTATTATTATTACCTATTAAACATCTTGACTGGGTTTTCAAATTCGAAGTAACATGTCATACACTACATTCACAAGATTGAGTTATAAATGTAGAAAAGTGGCAGTATTTAAAAGACACAAAGCTGATATTCTTAAAAATTATAAATCTTATTTAATATATTCGGTCCCAAACTTTTTTATTAAAAAGACATAAAACTATATTATTACTTCTTAGTTATATTAATGGGTCAATTTTTTTCGGATATTGTAAACACATTTTAATTAAGATATTTGCTATTTCCTTTTAAAGAGACAGTATGACCATCTAAAGGTATATAGTAAGTGGACAGGTGCAAGTAAAAATAAATTTTCATTTTGCCCTAATTCTTCTTGATTTAATAATTTACTTCAATAAATAACTACCAGATTTATACGAAATTTCAGTAAATATCATTTAGAAATTACCTGTAACGTTCAAGTTATAAAAAGAGAGGGGCAGTCTTTTTATATTTTAGGCAGATTTTAAATTTAACATTTTCCGATATAATCTGTTGGTCAAACATCATTTAAACAGTCAATCTCTTGAAATATATTTAGTCAGTTCAGCTCGACTCAACAATGAAAATATGAGCACAATGTCACTTTAAGTATTTCTCGAAGTATCATAAAAAGTGAAATAGAGGTTGAAATGTCTAATCAACGTCTAAAAGTCATGCAAAAATGCGACTAAGAAACATGGGGTTTAAAAGTCATGGGTTTAAAAGTCATCTTAATATACTAACTTAGTCGTTGAGAAGTCATTTTCAGTTTCAGTTTTTTTAATCAAGGCATGTAACATGCAACCGGTTATAACATAAAAATGAACAGAAAATAACAGTCAAAACTAAACTTATATAACAATAAAAGTATACAATTATAATTAGCTAAATAAACAAAAAAAAAAAAAGAAAAAAGACCATACAGTCAAGGGGTCTATGTGTCTTATTTGCGTGCATTATCCCCTCGAATTCAAAAAAAAATCCCTACTTTTTGTATTTGTTTAAATTATGACATGACCTACCTATTCTAATAATGATAACAAGTACATAAACACAAATTATGATTCAACAACTTATGTTCTTATCTTAGACAACGTAAGATTTCACATGAAGAGATTGTCAACATTGTGACCTGTCAGTTTTCTTGTTACACATTCACTACAGGAGATATAAC